TGGGGCGGTAGCGTGCAAAGAAAGAATTGTACCAACTGAAGCCAATGTTGGCTAGTATGCAATATTGTAACAAATTGATGCATTTCAACTTTAATGTATTTGACACAGAAAGATGGCTTCAGCGAGTAAACAGTTGGCTGGTAAAACAAAATAAGAGTCCAGATTTCTTACATGACCCCTATGGAATGTGTACACCCATCCTTGTATGTAATTTGGATCCAGGAATGAGGACATTTCATTTCAGTACACTCCTCATTCACTACAAGCAGCCTGTAGATGCTGCTTCTGTCTTGTTTCTGTTCACTTTGGCACAAATTGTACAACCACACCAAATAATTCCCTCCATTTTTTGTAGTTTAATTCAACCCAACCTTTGAGGCCGGAGATTCTCATTAGTTGAAAACTTAAAAGACAAAACCCAAGATCAAGATCTACAGGACAACCAGGCATTTCACTATTACCATAACCATGGACTAATATCAGAATGTGATGCAGACTGTTTCCATACCTGTTGAGTACTGTCACCAGTGATAAGATATCTCTGATTTGTTACACTCCAGAGAACGGCCTCCAGGGACTAGCTTGTCCTTGTCTCTCTGTCAAACTACTGAAACTAGGGAAACTAAATAAACCATGTTTTAATTCCAAGCTGTATTACTACACACTCATGGATGCCACCATTTCAAAATGTAGATTGCACTTTGCTATCAATTGAAACATCATTGAAAGAAGCGTGAAATCGACAAAGATCAGGGCCAAATAATATACGAGCCCACATCACTGGAGTTTCTTTTTAAAAAATCTCATCTTCTTAGTTATTATTTTTCCAATTCTTTTTAATTGTTACTTGATTAGCTAAGTACATTTTATTCTTCAAAACACCTTAAATACACTTCCCAAAAAGTCCTTTTCCTCAAACTTGTCAGCAGTGATTTAACAAATTACATCGATCTACTTTCTGCAGTTCTTAAGATCTGTTTTCAACCATCTACAGATGCAAGAACGCCAAACAAAAAGTGTTGATCTAGGGTTATATTTAAACAATCTCACCTAATGTTTCAGCCAAGCAATCTCTTCAATCTGCCTTGAGTAGAAGCACAACTTAATTGGTTGAAAAGCGCCATGTTGGTTGGGAGTATTCATTTTGTTGGTAGCAATTGGGCTGCACCTCTTGCATGTCCTAGTCGTTCATGAACCAGTGATGCAGTTAGTACCAAAGGAGCCTCTGATGCCAAGAAAATGGTGTTCTCTCTCGGTCCAACTAAAGGCCAATACAGGAGATCACAGTCTGTGCAGAAAACATTCCCAAATTATAAACAGTATTAACCGTATCCTCGAAGGGTGCATGTGAAATCATATTGAAATCAGAGGATTTTGAGGACCATTTGAGCTATGTTATGGCTCCCTATATATATGTCATCCAGTAAATGGGCAAAATAAATTATCCAACAAGGATGACCCCTAAATACAATGTAGACATAATGATGTCACAGTTGGTTTACACACGATACAGTGAGGTGGGGTAGGTCTTAATGTACTAGGTCTATAGGACATGAGGAACGAGTTCACAGGAGACTCAATCAGTGAATCATANCCAACCTTAAAGGCTGGCGATTCTCATTAGTTGAAAACTTAAAAGACAAAACCCAAGGTCAAGATCTACAGGACAACCAGGCATTTCACTATTACCATAACCATGGACTAATATCAGAATATGATGTAGACTGTTTCCATACCTGTTGAGTAGTGTCGCCAGTGATAAGATATCTCTGATTTGTTACACTCCAGAGAACGGCCTCCAGGGACTAGCTTGTTCTTGTCTCTCTGTCAAACTACTGAAACTAGGGAAACTAAATAAACCATGTTTTAATTCCAAGCTGTATTACTACACACTCATGGAGGCCACTATTTCCAAATGTAGATTGCACTTTGCTATCAATTGAAACATCATTGAAAGGAAGGGCCTTTTCCTCAGACTTGTCAGCAGTGATTTAACAAATTACATCCATCTACTTTCTGCAGGTCTTAAGATCTGTTTTCAACCATCTACAGATGCAAAAACGCCAACAAAAAGTATTGATCTGGGGCTATATTTAAACAATCTCACCTAATTTTTCAGCCAAACAATCTCTTCAATCTGCCTTGAGTAGAAGCACAACTTAATTGGTTGAAAAGCGCCATGTTGGTTGGGAGTATTCATTTTGTTGGTAGCGATGGGGCTGCACCTCTTGCATGTCCTAGTTGTTCATGAACAAGTGATGCACAGTTAGTACCAAAGGAGCCTCTGATGCCAAGAAAATGGTGTTCTCTCTCGGTCCAACTAAAGGCCAATACAGGAGATCACGGTCTGTACAGAAAAATTCCCAAATTATAAACAGTATTGGCCGTATCCTCCAAGGGTTTATGTGAAATCTTATTGAAATCTTAGGATTTGGGGGATCATTTGAGCTATGTTAGCTTCCTATATATATGTCACCCAGTAATTGGGCAAAATAAATTTATCCAGCAAGGATGACCCCTAAATACAATGTAGACATAATGACGTCACACTTGGTTTACACACGACATGAGGGAACGAGTTCACAGGAGACTCAATCAGTGAATCATACCTTTGGGATGACCAATAACAAAGAATCACTCACATTTTACTTAGAAAGCTACAGCAATAGATCACAGTACAATCACCTCTACAACATTGGCCATCATCAAGATGGCCATTGGCCAAGAATGCAAGAAAGCAATGACTTATCAGTGGCTTGTGCTCTGGCTGAAATAAACGCACATAACAGTCATTAAACATGCAAAATGAAAAAACGGCAAGAAAATATGAGTGGAGGAGCCTGTTTGCCGATTCACAGAGGGCTTTGAAGGATCGGAAAGATGGAGAGAGCTGATTGAGAATTTGTAATTCACGTATGTGCACCTAGCACTGCAGGTGTACCAATTTAGTTAATACATGGCATTGTATGGGATGGCACATGACAGGAGTAGCCACAATCCGGTCCTGCCTCCCACAATATGGCTTCAAATTTTGATGAAAAGAGGCAGCGGTGGAGAGCCGTAGCCAGTGTTCGATACTTGTGCATGCCGTAGTCTCACATGGAGATGCCGCACCGTGTGTTGCCAACATAGAGTACAACATAAACTGCCCAAAATATTTCTTGTCAGGGCTTTTCTGAAGATATACCCCACATACATATTTGCAATGGATGTTTGTAATGACACACATGATAAAAACCAAAAGTGCAAATGTTATTTAAAACATATATTGAGCGATTTCATACAACAGTGTCTTTAGAAGTGAGTATCATTCCGACATAAATAAACTAACTTCTACGCTATTTGAACATCAATTGGACTTTCGGTTAAGCAGTGTATTGTTGTGACAGAATAAAATCATGGCGAACCTGATTTTCAAGTTCTTGAATCTGGCTTTAATAACTTTTGCAAGCTAATGACCATCAGGATGCCCTTAATCAATGCTGGCTTCATATTTATGTGTTTCACATTCTGAAAACCCCAATTGCAAAAATATCATGATTTGTTTTGTACAAAGACGGGAATAAACAAATTTTTACTGCTCGAAAAAGACTACTGCACATTTGACTACATAAGATCATTCCCTCACAAAACAATCCAGCAAATGTCTCATTTCCATCACAAAAGCTAACTGGCATTCCAATCTACGACCCTGAACAATAAGTAAAACTAAGTTGAGGAAGGAAACATACATGTACATGGTAAGTGCTGCCACGTGAGCTGTTTCCATACCTGCTGAGTACAATAAAGTGTCAGAATACATCTCAGATGTGCAGCAATCCAGAAAACGGTCTCACAGGAGTGTTCCTAGTCTCTCCATTACTGCTACAAGTTAAGAAACCAAAGGAACCCCGTTAAAATCCCAGCCTGCATGCCCGACAGTCACTGTGGGGCCGCCATGTTTAAATACAGGGTGCACTAGTTACCACAGCAAAAGCAGTGTAAAATCAACAAAGGCAAGCCCAAACTTGTGGAGTTTGTTAAACGGAAATCTCATTATCGTCTTTGCCGTCATTTCGCTATTTATTTTCAATTGTTGGATGGTAAGCCAATGATATTTCTCACCTTTAAACTCACCTCCTGTGAAGTCACATTTGAACAAACCCGCCAACGTAGCCACACATGCGTTCTCGTGCGTAGGCGTTGTTATCCTAATGCCCGCGCCACCGTGGAAAACTGGTCGTGGATCAACTTGCGCACATATTGACCAAACGGGATCAAACAGCACTGGTGATTGGCGTGCTTGAAATAGGCCCTGCACCACAAAGATCTGAAGATAATGGAAGTATTATTTTTTTTTCGTAAAGTATATCAAAAGAATGACCACTATTTGAAAGAGAGAAAGAAAAAAAACATCCCCCAAAACTGTATGCAAGTCAATTTGCATCAAACAAAAAATCATATATTTTCTACTAAAAAGCCTGGACGAACGCTANACAGGCCCGACAGTCACTGTGGGGCCGCCATGTTTAAATCCAGGGTGCACTTTACCACAGCAAAAGCAGTGTAAAATCAACAAAGCCAAGCCCAAACTTGTGGGGTTTGTCATACAGAAATTTCATTATCGTCTTTGCCGCCATTTAGTTTCAATGGTTGGACGGTAAGCCAGTGATATTTCCCATCTTTAAACTACTGTGAAGTCACAGTTGAAGAAACCCGCCAACGTAGCCACACATGCGTTCTCGTGCGTAGGCATTGTTTAATGCCCGCGCCACCGTCACGCGTCAAGACCGTGGGAAAACTGGTTGTCGATCAACTTGCGCACATATTGAGCAGGGTACCAAACAGGGGATCAAACAGCGCTGGTGATTGGCGCACTTGCAATAGGCCCTCTCAGTGTGCACAAGCACCACGAAGATCTGAAGATAATGTAAATATTTTTTTTTCGTAAAGTAAATCAAAAGAATGACCATTATTGGAAAGAGAAGAAAAAAAATCCCCCAAAACTGTATGCGAGTCGATTTGCATCTAAAAAACCATATATTTTCTACCCAAAAGCCTGGACGAACGCAACCGTCTGAGGTTTGGGCTTCCAGAGCTACGGCTAGGTCTATTGTCAACGCGTCTCCACGCATTTCCAATGGAGCGAAGATCCAGACCTAGCTCATAGAGTGGTACTTATTATATTATTTCGTGGGAACAAGATGATTTTGAGGGAACAAAATGATAATTCGAGGGAACGGAATTAAAAAAATCTTCATTGTGCATGTCCCCTTATTGGCTCCTTAGGTACTCGTAGAGAGGGACATCGAATGCAACTGTGCGTTTTTGCAAGTTGGGTCACACTCACTGTCCGACAGTAAATTCCCCCCCCCATTACAAAATACATGTACATACGATGTAGGGCGGAAATAATGCCGCCCGGCGCTCCGAAGGAAGCCTTTTGAGGGTTTTGTGTTGGGGGGGGGGGTCGGATCAGGTCAACATTCAAGACAATGACCAGAAGCGGTTTTCTTTTGAATAAGGGTTTGATGTGCTACATTTTTAATCAGTCCTTTCCCAAAATTATTAAGCATACTTTTGCCCTATGCGGAATAACACGTGAATCGCTGGACTGCTGGGCAGCTTAAAGAGCATAACACTGCATGGGTAAATAAGTGGTAAAACAAAACCACTTTCTAAAGCCATTGGGTAAAAAGAGGCAAGTCTACCTATAACAGAGCCTGAAAGTTGACCCCTGATGGTGCACTTCTGGAACACTTGGATAGGATAAATAACGAGAAAAGATGTTACAATTTAGCTGTTTCGGCAACTGGCGAAACATGTATTGCTTTTCTGCTTTTTTTTTTAGCTGTTTGGCAACAGCCAGAACAGCTCTTGCTTTTCTGATTGGCTGTTTCAGCAACTCTGCCGAAGCAGGTATTGCTTTTCTGATTATTAGCTGTTTCGGCAGCAGACCTTTGGACCATCATCCAAGGACGGTCCTGGAAGAAATTCACAGTGATAACTTAAGTAGTTTATTTATTATTGATTTTTTAAGAATTAATTTTCCCCATAGACTTTGTACACAGATTGCACACAGTTTTCGGACTGTCTTATATTAGGCTATGAGGGCGCTATTGCAGAATTACGGTTACACCTGCCTGGGCTTTAAATTTTCAACAAACTGTCCTACATTGAAGCATGGATGGCACAACGTAGGTTTTGCACACACATTGTCCAGCATAATGTATGAGCAGTCATCAACTTGGACCGAGAATTACTACCGAAAAATAAATCAGACTAAATGTTCCCTTTCGTTCTATCGCAAATATACCAAAGTGTGCAAATATTAAATAATATTTCATAAGTTTTGTCCAGTTAGACAAAAAACACGTGACATGAAATTAAAGGAGCAGTTTTCCTGCACACGTGTTTCTAGCCCATTGACTTTGTACTCGTTTTCGAGTAACAATGTTGGTATTTTTGCGGTGTTTGATCGGTCCCAAAGTGATAGCCAACAAAGACCCTAATGCAAGATTTATTGCATAGGGATGACGTCATAATGTCATAATCACCTTATTTTATATTCATTTTTGAATATTCAATTTTCCCCCATAGGTTTTGTACACGTTTTTCTACTTAACACAGGTGAACAAGTAGTCTTGAACTTCGGCGCAAGATTACTATAAGTACGAAGGTGAAATCGGGTACTTTACGCTCTGCTATTTTATTTGAAATATGCCTAAGAGTCCGAATATGAAGTAATATTTCATACAAATTGTTCAGTTTAACCGCAAATCACGTGATATGGACTTAAAGGAGCAGTGTTTCCGCAAATGAGTTTTTTTGCCCTAGACTTTGTACACGTTTTCAAGGTTCAATTTTAAAACCTTTCCGATATTTAATGGTTATCAAAGTGACAGCCAACAAAGACCGTGATACAAAAACTATTGTAAGTAAAGGATGTCATGATGACGTCATCATGTCATTTATTCTTGATTTTTCAATATTTCAGCCTATTGACTTTGTACATGTTTTCAAGCCTGCATTTGGGTTAGTTTGGGAGCTTTGATCAACTTCAAAGTTCCAGCCAACACAGACCTTGATGCAAACATACGTCCAAATTTACGACGTCGTGATGACGTCATCATGTGACTTATTATTGATTTTTTAATATTTATTTCAGCCCATTGACTTTTTACAAGTTTTCGAGGCACTATTTTCCTACCTTAGTAATCGTTGATTATCGTCAAACTTACAGCAAGAACTAACTATACAACGAAGATAATTCTAACGTATTTAGGTCATGATGACGTCATCACGTGATTTATTATTAAATTTTGAATATTTAAATATAGCATGAAATATATAAAAACCGATATAAAATCAACCGTTACCTCCACAACATTCTGTTCGCAGCAAGTGCAAGGATAAAATGTGGTCTTGATTTTGTCTCGTGTAGTCAAATAACATGACCCTTCCTTCCGGTTTAAACCGGAAATAGGCTTATTGTTTGAAAGTGGTAAAAGCCATTAAGTTTTTTTCAATGGAATGAGTCAGTCTGTGTTAGTGCTGGGTTGAAACCCTGCTTATATCCTGGAGAAGAAGTGCTTTAGGCAAATATTGAGCATATTTAGTGATGAAGACGTTATCAGAAGAAAAGTCACGTGACATTAAAGGGGAACTCGTCAAACCACTATACCTCGAAAAGTACATGTCTGATGCGGTTGAAACTTTGTGTGTGGCTGGAAAGGGAAGGGTTTTAGACCCAAATTGATCTGATTTGATTCTGACCTCATCTGGTGACAAGTCACGTGACATTGAAGAAATACACTTCTTGTAACTGGTATCACATCCACTCGCGATGACGTCAAAAGTCGAAGAAGTCATATATGCTATCTTTAATCAAGTATTATAATTCTTAACTTATTGTGAGAAGCTCCACAAAGTACGAAGCAAACTCTCAATCGTGAGAATAATATCTTGTGCCAAGTCATACTAGATTATATTCTGAAGTTGACATCCAATTGAATTGGTTAAAATTGATTTATAAATTTAACCTTTTCAGGGTATATGTCACGTCCAGAATAGTAAAATGTTTATTTTTACTCTCTCATAGTTTCTGAATGCCAAGTTTTGTCATCGCAATTGCCAGTTCTTATTTAATTAGTGAAACAGTCCCGAAACAGCTCTGTGTTTGTACTTGTTTACAAACACTTCCGTCTATTCTTTTTAGTTCTTTTTCAGCTCAATTTATTCCGGCAGTCGACTTTGCCCGTTTGCTAAATCTGATCGACTTCAAACTTGGCAGACCTTTGGACAATTATCCAAGAAATTCACGGTGATATCTTAAAGGAATATTTAAGTATTCAAATTTTAATAACAAATCACGTGATGACGTCATCATGTTATAAATATTTTAGAATTATCTTTTTTGTATAGTTAGTGCTTGCTGTAAGTTTGACGATGATCAACGATTACTGAGGTACGAAAATAGTGGCTTGAAAACGTGTACAAAGTCAATAAGCTGAAATGAATTTTTAAAAATCAATAATAAATCACATGATGACGTAATCACAATGTGTTAAATTTGGACGTATCTTTGCATCAAGGTTTTTCTTGGCTGTAACTTTGAAGATGACCAAAGCTCACAAATTAACCCAAGTGCTTGCTTGAAAACGTGTACAAAGTCAATGGGCTGAAATATATATTGAAAAATCAAGAATGAATGACATGATGACGTCATTATGACGTCCTTTACTTACAATAATTTTTGTATCACGGTCTTTGTTGGCTGTAACTTTGATAACCAGCAAACATCGGAAAGGTTTTAAAATTGTACCTTGAAAACATGTACAAAGTCTAGGGCAAAAAACCTCATTTGCGGAAACACAGCTCCTTTATGAGTTCATGTCACGTGATTTGCACCTAAACTGAACACTTTTAATGAATATTACTTCATATTTCAAATCAAATAACAGAGCGTAAAGTACCCAATTTCTCTTTCGTTATTATAGTAATCTTGCACCAAAGTTGAAGACTATTTGTTCACTTGTGATAAGTAGAAAAATGTGTACAAAACGTATGGGAAAATATGAAATATTCAAAAAGGAATATAAAAAAGGCAATGACGTCATCGTGACATCATACATTAGCTATAATTCTAGCATCACGGTCTTTGTTAGCTATTTTTTTGCCATCGATCAAAAATTGCAAGGTTACCAAAATTGTCCCTCAAAAACGTGTACAAAGTTAATGGGCAAAAAACCCGTTTGCAGAGACACTGCTCCTTTAAGTTCGTGTCACGTGATTTGCGCTTAAACTGAATATTTTTTATGAAATATTACTTCATATTCCGACTCTTAGGCATATTTCAAATAAAATAACAGAGCGTGAAGTACCCGATTTCTCCTTCGTTCTTATACTAATCTTGCACCGAAGTGAAAGACTACTTGTTCACTTGTATTAAGTAGAAAAACGTGTACAA